CTGGATTTAATTATTTATTATTGCTAATTACATAGGTGTAACATTCAGAAATTGTTGTTCTGCTACCCAGTGGGCAGAGAGCTCTTGGGCAGGTTTGTGGAGGAGAGATGCTCTGTCTTCTCCTGCATCCTCCCCGCGCACCCCCCGGGCAGCCCCAGGGACCCTCTTGCTCCGCCGCCCATCAGTCCCCGCGCCCCAGCCCTGGTCCTGCTGGGTCGATGGATCGATCTAACGCAGCACTTCAGTCTCTGCCTCAACAGGCTTTTCCATCCCGCAGACAGCCCTGCCTTTGGCAACACAAGCTCTTCTTCGAGAAGTGACCTCCCAGCTTCCAGACCCCTGATCTAATCAACCTTCTGCTTGTCTCCCTGTCCATCCGATCCTCGTGTGGTAGCTATCCAGTATAATTCAATCCAGAAGCAAAATAAATAAGTAAAAAAATCATAGTATGCTCCTCAAGGGCTATAGATGGAGAAATCACATATTCTCATTTTCTCGTTTCTCTTCCTTTGTCTTCTGATTTCAGAGTAATTAAGTCACATTTATGTTGGATTTTTGAGTTTTTTCCCCCATTACCCTGAAGATTGGACTTGTCATACGGGAGCGTTGGGTGCAGGTACAGAAGTCTGAGGGGCTGGTGCTGGTTTGGGATTTCTGCCGTCCCTGCGGCTCCGCGCTGGGCAGCGGGAAGCTCGTGCCCTGCTGATTTTTGCTTTCTTTGCCCCACCTCTGGGTTGCTCTGTGCGTGCAGCAGCGTTAAGACTACAGGCTCTGATCTACTATTTTCAGCATTTTTCTGCTCTGGTAGATAGAAATGCCAGATAGCCTAAACACGTGTCCTTTTAATCTAAAAGGACAACCTGTTTCACATCTCTGTAGGAGCTTTTATTTATTTCTGTCATATAATGCTGCAGTTACCGGTCTCTTCTGAAGATTGAGGATTAAAAGGAAAAAGTATCCTTAATATAGCTTTTTGGTGACTCTACCTAAAATTCGATTGCATATTTAATGTAGTGTTTCGACTATTACTCTTTTTCTTTCACTTTTTAGAAGATTCCTTTAATTTATGTAGAGCTCACTATAAAAGAATCTGAATGTCTGATTTTCGAGTCCATTTGTTTTTGCAGTGAGTAGTAAGGCTGGTTGCTGACATTTTTGTTACACACACCAAAAAAAAAAAAAAAAAAAAAAAAAGCCTGTACTGCTTGGACAATTTACCTCTCTTTCCAGCCAGGCTAACGCTTTTGAGACTAATCTGTCTTGGAGCTGTTGGTGGATTTTTATTTATGTTGTTCGAAATAAGCAATTCACTGCAATCTGTTTGTACTCTGCGGGCTATATCTGTGATGAAAGTCCTTGGACTAGTGGCAAACATCTAGTAAATCTCTTTTAGTTTTGCATCTGACTTTGGTACCTGGAATGCTGACTCCAGGTTTGGAGCTCTTGCGTTGAAATTAAACACAACAAATTCCAAGTGGCGAAAAGTTTCTCTAGTAAATTCTTCGGAGATAATTTTAACTGAGATTCAGAAAAGGCATTTACGGCGTGGGGATCAGTAAATGCAGCGTGTGCAAAGGGGATGGAATCAGAAGTAATTTAATCTCTGCCTAAAGCTGAATTAAGAGGGATGTGTTCGGGCACTGTTGGGGTATCCCATGGGTGCCAGGCAGGTTACTGGCAGGTGCTGACAGGCTGGTTACACCGCGGTGGGTTTGCTATTCCTTCTGTGGCCATTTCAGTGCAATGGGACTTATCGTTAAAAACCTCTCCAGTGAAACCAAACAAGCCATAAATGACTGAACCAGGCAACTGAAGATGTCAGCTAGCATGAAAGTACAAGTTATGTGTTCTGATGGCTGCTGGGGAACGAACAGGAGCCCTGGTGGGTGGGGAGGTGGGTATGGTTGGCTTACCCAGGCCAGCAGCACGCCAGCTCACAAGAACCCTTTCCTTCCTATTGCTTTGCCTGTGTGTACATATAAAAATACAAGCTTTCTGTTGAACACAAAGGGACATAAAATTACACAGTCTCTACAACTCCTTGAAATACTGGTGCACATTCAATGAGTTGGGGAGTTGAGGGTTTTTTTTATTCTTGTTTAAAATTCCTGGCACTGAGCATTTTGATACAGATTTTAAGATTATGGAATGTTTATGCAGAAGCACGTGAGCTGGTGTAGCACGTGCAGCAGCTCCAGACCACAAACCATATCTCAGATCTCCTGGTTGACTTTGGGTTTGCCTGTGCGTAGCCAGGCAGTTTGCTGCTGTTTATTGGGACACTAGAGGTTGCTTATTTGAGTCGACTGTAGTGTGTGTCTTTGAGCTGCTGTAGTTTGTTATAGCAGTAGTGTCAGAATACTTAAAAATAGCTCAGGTCGGTTCTGTTATCAGCTGTGTGCTCAGATTTCCCTGGTGAGTCTGGGAGAACTGAGGGTGCTGAAGTGTGTGAAATGTGGCTGCAGCATCAACTGGATGCACACATGGCAAGGGAGAAGAAAACCAGTCATGCCCTTTCACTGAACTTAGAAAGAGAGTATTAGGTCTTACTGTCAACCTTGAAAGGCAAGTTACAGCTTCTTTCCATAATACCCATTCACAGGCAATCTCAGAGCCCTTACGTCTCTTCTTTGACACTCAATTAAATGACTGCACTTACTTTTTAAGACTTAAAACCAAAAGAGGGAATAATCCAGTACAATAGTGCTTTGCTTAAATTCAAAGTTATCTGTACTTTGAAAACCACGTTAAAATAATTGATAGTTCTGCACTAAATGTGATGTGCTCAGAGCTCGAGTGCTTCAGTCGCAGCTGTTGATCCCTTGTGCCATGAGCAGCATCTCAAAGGTGAATTAGGGCTGTTACCACAGCAGAGAATTATTGTCCTCTCTGTCTTCTGTGTTCTTATGCGGTAACCTGGGATAAGCTCATGATTTTCTTTATTTTACACGTGAAAGACAGCTTTGTGCTCCTTGGAGATATTTTAGGGGTAGTGTAAAAGAAGTGAGGTTTAAGGACAAGGTTAAACCCAGCTCCAAGGAGCAGGTGGTTCTGTTTGGTTTGGGTTCCTAGCACTGAGCCGAAGGAAAGTGGCTCTGCCCAGCAGCCTGCCCCAACGTAGGCTGGGCACTCGCCCCAAATCCTCCCCTGGGTGAGCAACGCAGAGATAGACCCAGTTTGTCCTTCCTGCCCAGGTGTGTAACCAGCACCATTTGAGTGTTACTAAGATCGTGTGTTCTGAAGACAGAATGGGGAATGCATAATAAACTTCTAATAATTGTGAACAGAGCCACATCCTACATAGAGATATCTAGGATAAGTTCTAAAAGTCTACTTTTTTAAAGAAAAAAATAACCTTGGAAATAAAAGTCTCTATAATTTGCATTTTACGTAAATGTATCTGTTCTGGATTTGACTCCCAGAGATAGTAAATGCCCACAGACTGAATGTGGGTGGTCAGCAGTTCAGAAAATTGGGCCATCCATCTAAATTTGTCTCTCTTAAATCTATCCTATTCACGTCAGCGTTGTTTAAATCAGTACAATAGGGATTCAATAACTTCGCTTATTATCATACTATATAATCCCTTTTCATAACAGTGAAGTCACCATGTAAGGACTGCTCCAGATGCTCATCTCCCAAAGTTGACAGTGCTTATGAATGCAGACACGGTTGCATCTGGGATGCTCCAGGGTTTTAATTTGCAGTAGTGCAGGTGAGACACCAAAAAATTGCTCTACGCTTCCGTGCGTTGTACGTTACGAGTTTAAATGAGAGTTTCTGGAAGAAGCTGGCTTAAATTTTTGAGGTCTCATACGTATCCCAGATTCTGTGATTTATGGTGTTCAGTTAAAGTTATCAAAAAGCAATGTTTAAAGTAACGGGTTTTTTTACCGTAGCTTCAGGCTGAGTGCTGGAGCACCCCTGAGCCAGGATGGAGCTGAGAAATGGAGATGGGCTCTTTTCCAGATAATACATTATCGGATGAATAATTAACTGTAGACTAATTTCAAATCCTAATTAGTCTCCTACAACTGCACTAAACACAGTATTGCTTCAGTGTAACGTGGAAAGAACTTGACCTTCAGGTTTTAATACTGCTGCTGGTGTGAGCAGGGAAGAACTTGACTTTCAGAATCCAACTTACCTTTGTGATACTACAAATCAAAAACCTCCACAAATCATAAAATTAAAAAATACAGAAATGCCAATATACATGCCTGGCCTTTTTCTCAGTGTGCATTGCTAGCTTGTTTGTGTTGCTCTTCCCACAGATGGCAGAAAAAATAAATTAGGAAATTTATGTGGAATGTTGTATTTGACCTGTGTCATAAACTTGATGGGGAATTGGCAGGTGGACTTTGCTTTGTATCATGCTCATACTTGACTGCACAAGGAGGTTTGGTGTCTGGAGAGCAGCACTTTCTACGTAACCATGAGCATGTCAGGAGCAGCAGAAGACAGTGGAAGATTCATGTGGGTTTTTTGTCCCATTCTTTGCCCTTAACCACTTGGTAGCACGGGTTGGCTGCTCTGCATCTTGTGGAGTGCTTTTCAAAATGACACGGGTAGCCTTGGTTTCTCGTGGAAGGTACCTCTGCTTGGAGGTAGTTTCTGTGTGAGGAAGGAGAGGGAAGGCTCTCCCTTCTCCATGGTTGCTCCAGGAAATCTCATTCCCTGGTGGCTCCGGTACTTCTGGTATGGGGAAAGCTAGGTGGCTGTGTTTACTTCCACGGGAGGTGCTGAGAATATAGCGAGCAAGAAGGGGAGAAATTACAGCTAATGTTAGAAGAAACATGTATTGACAGCTGGAGCACTGCGTACCCTAAAATTGATGACCAGCATATAATGTTAAACCAGACTTGAATAACAGGAATAACCTGAAAAATCCGGATACTGATGTTGCAGCATGGAAAGTTAGAGGTGTTCTGTTGATAAAACCACCGAGCAGTAGCCAAGGTAAGCAATTCCTGTCTGAATCTGTTCTTGTTCCTGTTTAGGTGACACTGAGCAGGAGCTGGGACCCCCTCCGTCCGTAGATGAGGCAGCAAATACACTCATGACTCGCCTGGGCTTCCTCCTCGGAGAGAAAGTCACGGAGGTACAGCCAGGGCCCCAGTACAGCATGGAGGTGCAGGATGAGAACCAGGTACGACCCCTCCAGTCCTTCCTGCTCGTACAGCAGCATCATGGGTTATATCCAACTGCAGCATGTGAGAGAGCGGTTATTTTCTAATTAGATGGCAGCTGAGTGTCTCATAATGGTGAAATAATTGTTATGAGGTAAAAGGTTGTATCTCCTCGTTAAAGGGTGAATCATCATTACAGTGCAGCAGTACATGTTTCAGGGATCAGCTGCTACCGTGTGAAACAGCTTCTGTTGTTTTTCTGTTTCTGCAAATGTTGTAGGAGTGGGTAGCATTTCTAATCAGATTATAGTGACCAAAATAATCTGTACTTCCATGGCATTTTACGTGCAATATTTCAAAAGTACTTTAGCAATGTTACATAAAGGCTCACAGTTTCTCCGGGAAGGAGAGGTAAGTGGCAATAGCCCGGTTTTACAGATAGTCACAGTTTTGCTCATGTTTGCGGAACAAGGTGATTTCATGCTTGAAAACAGATACAGAAAGCAAATCATAAAATCTTTATTGTGATGGAGTTTGTTACATCCCCTCTGGCTGGCTGGCTGAAAAGCATAACGGCAAAAAGCTCAGGACTACAGTGTAGATTTTGTAGAAACCGCCTGAGTTTCTGCCTCCTTATCCTCAAGCCTGGACGATGTCCCCACTCCCAACAGTGTTGGTAAGATGAGAATGAAACTAGGAGACAGCTTTTTCCTCTTTTTTTTTTTTTTTTTTTTTAAACTGACAGATGGATAGTCCAGTATGTAGCAGAATAGCATAAAACTCAGAAGCCTGATTCTACTCCTCTCTCCTTTGAACAGAGTCATTGCATGACTCTGCAGAAGTCACTTAAGTTTTCACCATAGGCATTAGTCAGAGGACCTGACCTGAGAACCTGAATTCCTTAAAAAAAAAAAAAAAAGACAGTGAAAAATGGCAGCCAAGAGATGGTTTCTGCACATTGAGGCTGAATGCCCGTCGTGGCCCTGGTGACACAAGGGAATCTCCCTCCCAGCCTGTGCCACGTGGAAGGAAACTCGGGGACAAGTTGCTCCGCTGAGCCCGGGGCTGCTCCGAGCGTGGAGCAGGGTGGAGGGGGTCTGTCAGCCTGGTCTGTCAGTCCCACACTGTGGACTGCACCAAGAGGGTTTTGATCTTCTGCGGGAGCTGAAGTATGCTTGAGAGCCAAGAAATGTGTTTTTGTAAAGTTTTTGCCTTTAACACTTTCATTAAGCTTTTAACGCTTGCATTCCATTTTTTTATGCAAGTTGTGGAGGATTTGAAATGTACTTTACTGTACATTGTGCTAGAAAATGTACTTTTAACAGCCACCTATTTGAACTGAATACTTCAAAGGCAAGCAGAGCTTTCTACTATAAATGGTTCCTTTTGTTGTTGCCTTTTGACAAAAATTAAAATCCCATCTTTTCTCTAAAGCAAAAGATGTCTTTGGAGAATAAATAAAAGAAAAATCTAAAGAGAAACAGCAGAGACTTGTCCTCTAAAATAGATTGATATCTTGGGCTGTGTGCTAATTTTTGCATGAAAAAGTTTTACAAGGCCTTTGAATGCTGTTCGTGTGCTGGTGAAGATAAAGGGAGGCTGGTTCCTCAATTACCAAGTTAATTTTAAAAATTTCTTTGTGAGCATCTCCTGCGGTCAGCGCTTGCCTAGAATTGCAAAATCCTGGAGGTTGGCAATGACCTCTGGAGGTCACCTCGCCCAGGTGCCTGCTGAAGGCAGGGCTGGCTGCAGAGCCGGACCGTGTTGCTCAGGGCTTGTCCGAGTTCTGAAGATCTCCACGGATGGAGAATCAACAGGTTCTCTGGGCTTGACAACTCCGATTGTGAAGGACTTTTTTTCTTCTACCTAACACCATCTTCCCCTGATACAACCTGTGAGGGCAGTGTCTGGTCCTTGTGCTTCAGAGAAGAGTGTGGTTGTGTCTTCTCCACAGCCCGCTGCAGAGAGTGGAAGGCTGCAGGTCTCCGTAGATGCAGCTCAGTTTTCTCTTCTCCAGGCCGAGTCAACCCTTTCCACGAGGCTCTCCTCCATCTAACAGTTTGGCTGGCTTTTCCCGCCTACCACTGGCTGTCTCAGGAGCTGTGCACAAATCCTGCCCAGTCTAAAGCTGCTTCTGAATGACAGCACATCTTCTGAAAACCTCTCCAACTCTCCTTTCCAAATTGAATCTCTTCAGCTACCCTCCTTAAAGTAGTGTTGAAAATCATGCAGTGAGACATTTATGGGATTTGCAAAGATTAATTCTGCCATTAATCATTGATTAATTAAAATCTGATTGAGACTTTGACTACTAGTTTGCACTCGAATTTAAAAATCAGAACAATTTTCTAGGTTTTAATGTGTTAATTTACATGGCCTGGGCAAAGAAAACGTTCTTTGTATCAAAAGCTGGGACTTGGCTGCTGCTTGTTATTCCAACCATGCTTTGCCTTCTCAAGCGAGAAAATAATTATTTGCAATCTCACCAATGCTTGAGCTAAAGTGAAGATAAGAAATAGAGGTGTTTTCACAAAAACTGCCCCGATCTGTAAATCAGCACATTGCATTTTCATTCAATGGCCTTATTTTGAATGTGTCAAAGGATATATTCTCTAATCCAGATTGCTGTGAAATTGCATGTTTTATGTGCTGTCTCTTTCTTAATCATGCTCTCCTTAATGAGAGATCACAAATGCTGAAGAATAAATCCTTTTTCTCCTACTTTTTTTGGGAGACTATTTTTTAACTGCACTGGCTGCCAGAGAAGCACAAAGGACAATGAGACTATGACAGAACAGTGTAATTTTTCAAAGCTTAGTGAAGATGTGACAGATGAAACAGCAGCAATAATAATACAGAATGTTCTGTCAATGGAAATTTATATTTAAAACTTGCACAGAGGAACATTTTTCTATATCACTACAAAAATAAAACATGTCACTCAATGCCAAGTGATACACTGTGTTATTTAGTAATTTCCAGTTGCAAGTAGCTTGTTCTTAAAGAGCTGCATTGATAACACTGCAAATAAAAGAACTTATATCACTTTTGGCATTTTGTGAAACAATAGTGTTATCAGCTGGAGGGAAGATGAGTGGACTATTCTTGCACTGAATTTTAATTTTCTTTAAAGTGTAATTCTTCTGTGCCTTAAGGTTAGCAGATGTTATTTTGTTAGTACTGAGATAAGTTTCAGCAGGGATTTCTTTAAAATAACAGTTGAAACAGGGGCACAGAAAAACCTCACCTTAAAGAATTTATAATAGTAATGAAGCTTTGCATTTTGGAAGATCCACGTGTGAGCTGATTAAGTTTTTAGGTGCTGTAGTATGAGGTTAGAAGGCACCGCTGGAGGTTATCCAGTCCAGCCCACTGCTGGAAGCAGGGTCAGCTCAGAGCAGGTTGCTCAGGACCATCTCCACTTGGGGTTTGAATATCTCCTGTGTCAGATGCTCCAGTCCTTCAGTCATCGCCGTGGTCCTTTGCTGGACTCACTCCAGTGTCCCCATCTGCCTCTTGTACTGGGGAGTCCTGGGTGCGGTCCCTCCCCCAGCAGGGCTGAGCAGGGGAGAAGTGTCACCTCCTTCACCCACCAGCATTGCTCCTCTGATGCAGCCCAGGATGCCGCTGGCTGCCTTTGAACCTCAAAAATTAATATTACTTTAAACTTTCTGCAGCTCATTGTACCGCCAGTGAGTTAAAGAAAATGAATATTGGGGAAAAAAGCTAATTTAATAGCTCAGGTGAATTGATGGAGTCTAATCAGCTGTGATAAATCAGAAGAGGCAGTCCCACTGTAGTGCGTAGCTCAGTGAAAACATCTGCTTGATACATAGCAGCAATCCAAAAAGAGCCCTGTGTTAGGTTATATGAATAATAATAATAAACCTTGGCAGTTTTAAGAGGGAGAAAATAACGGAATATTTTCACTGGATACTGACAGACAAAATAGTTTTTAATTTGGCCACTAGAATTAATGAGCTAGAAATAATTTTGCGAAATTAAAAACAGATTTACAAAAATCAATATGGTATGTAGACATCAGAAAAGATTGCAGTATGAGAAGATCAGAAAGGTTCACTGAGGGAGAGGGCGCGTGACAGGTGATGTAACAAATGTGTGAAACCAGAATATACAGGGAGACAGAATTTATAGAGCAGTCAGCTTGCCTCCAATTCCTAGAAGGCGACTGGGGAAAAGAGAGATGTATTTCTAAGTACCTAGAACATAAAAGAATGGAAAATAACAATAACCGTGACCCACTAGTGGCACCACAAATTGGATGGGGAGAGGAAAGTGTTGGTTTGCTTCTCCTGAGAGCTTCAAAAGATGATGATGTGGTAGCAGCCGTCTCCTTCACTGGTGGGTATTTTATATGGATACTGGAGGGAGATTATAAATTATCACGGAAATACACGGTTCATTTTCTACTGTGTTGCAATCTCTCTAATATAAAAACCATGCCCAAGGAGCTGTCGCATTAGCACTCTGTCCCTGCTTTGCTGATGTGCTAATCCACGTTTGGGGCACTCTGTCATTAAGATCCATGCAGTCGTGGTGGTGTGAAAGCAAAGGCAGTGGAGGGGGCTGCCTGCCTCGGCACTGCCCCGTCCCACCACTGGCAGGGACGCTCCGTTTTGCCTCCCAGCACCGGGGTGGTTACACTCTGAGTAAGCACTTTTACACGCTCCTTTGGGATACCTTGGGCAAATTAGATCACTTCCCGGTAGCCATACATGTATCTGCCTTCTAATTTAAAAACCAGTAAATCTTTCACATGTTCTACTTAGAAAAAAAGTCCATCCCAGGCATTTTTCAGCTTCAAGTATGAAATAGTGAGGAAGAAAAAAAATTAGATGTCAAACCTGTTCCGCAGTTCGCAAGCGCGACGTTCTCTGTGATCACCTTGGGTTCAAATGACATGGAGAAGGGAATACAAATCCGTGCAATTATTAGGGAAGCATTCACACAGAATAAAAGAAATCTCATTTAAGCAAATTCCAGATGGGGAATTAACCTCTGCTGTTCCTTCCTTGGGACCAGTATCATTTTACCACAACGAATGAAATACTGTCTGCAGAGGGTACAGGAAACAGCAGCAGTGCAAGAGATGATGGTGTCACAGAATCCCAGAATCACTCAGGTTGGAAAAGCCCCTCGGGATCATCGAGTCCAACCCTCAGCCCGACTCTACAAAGTTCTCCCCTACCCCACATCCCCCCACAGCTCATCCCAACGGCCCTTAAACCCCCCCAGGGATGGGGACTCCCCCCTCCCTGGGCAGCCTGTTCCACTCTCCGACCACTCTTGCTGGGAAACATTTTCTCCTCCTGCCCAGCCTGACCCTCCCCTGTTGCAGTTTCCAGCCGTTCCCTCTTGTTCCGTCACTAATTCCCTGTGAGAACTAATTCTGGACCGCAGTGTTCTGCAGTGTCCCCTGAGCAAGGGGGAGATGGGGTCACCTCCCCTCTGCAGAGGCCAAAAGATAAATGTAAGGGGGGGGTCACACATTCAGAAGCCCATTTTTTTTAAGCTTGCTTTATGCATCCTCTTCTACTTGTGGGGAGAAGGACCCACCGCGGGGGTGCCTGCTCCTCCGACACCCTCCCCATGAACAGGACGCCTGGTCTGGGGCACGGGGGTTGGTGGAAGTTTTGAATTTGCCCGTTTTAAAGTTATTTCCAGATGACTGCTCTGAAGTCCAGTGGAAGGGCGATGAAGTTGCTGCGTTGGGGACGCAGGAGCGTCTGCTCAGCGCTGTGGCTGGTGAGCCCCCCCCAGCGCTCGCCATCCTCCCGTGACTCTGCAGCAGTTTTGTTGCCTGCAGATGTTCTAGGACAGATCTCCAGAGCAGGAGGACCCCTTGCCAGGAAGGTTGTGTAGCCAGTAGCCTGTGGTTAAAACAAGGGTTCTGTCTTGTATTGCACCTTGTCTCAAATTGAAGTCAGGAATGATTTTGTTTTCTTAATAAACTAATCTCCATACACTGCATCACATCTATAAACTCTTCCAGGTTTCTTGCACACAGTGTCTTATGGGGTCTTTCCAAAATAACTTCCAGAACAGCATCTTTTTTGTGCTGCTGCGCTTTTTTTTTTTCTTTTGTACTGCCTTTGGAAAGCAACATTTCCCTATAATGTTTTGAGTTGTTTGGGGTTTTTTTTAAACTTCATCTGGTTGGGAAAGCGTGTCTGGGCAGGGAAGGGCTGTCTCCTATCTAGAGAAGGGATTTCGAGCTTCCTCTTTGCGAGGGTGTAAAACCACTGTTGTTTTTCTTGAATGGAGGAAACATTTACAGAGCAAAACAAAATTGCAGCCCCCACGGAGGTTTCTGAGCAGATGGAAATGACCCAGAGGTCTTTGTGGGATTTTCTGTCTCTTGCTGTAAGTAAAGGTGAGACCATGCTGTATGCTTACCACCCTGGAGATCTCCACTTAAACAGAGGCACAGAATTTACCTCGCTTTATCATAATTTTTTTACTTCAATACTAACAAAATGATCAAAATTCCTAATAAATTATGGAATCAGGCTTTGGGTAAATACTGCTTCATGCTTTCTGGGTCTCCTGTTGAATGTTTAAGCTGGAATCTCCAAGGCGTGCAGTAGGAAACAAGCCCAGTGTCTCCACGCTTGCCACAGATGTGGGGTGGCCCAGTGGGCAATTGAATTTTGAAGAGCAAAACCCTTTTTAACTTCACATTACAAAGCAAATCCTCATGCGTGAGCTATAGCAGGACTTTCCCCCCCACACACACCCAGTGACGGGCTGTGGTGAGTGATGTCTTGTTGCCGTTCCCCAGAGCTCGGCCGTGACGCAGCGCATCAGCCCCTGCTCCACGCTGACCAGCAGCACGGCCTCGCCGCCCGCCAGCAGCCCCTGCTCCACGCTCCCGCCCGTCAGCACCAGCGTCACCGCCAAGGACTGCACCTACGGCGCCGTCACCAGCCCCACCTCCACCCTGGAGAGCAGAGACAGCGGCATCATCGGTGAGTGCTGCCATCCTCCTCCTCCTCCTCCTCCTCGCTCGGCTTGACACCGGGCGCTCCTCGGCTGGGTGGGGTGAACAAACGTTGTTTGAGATAGTAACACGTGGGTTTGCGTTATTCAAGTTAATGCTGCAGTGACTGAGGTGAATTGCAATCCTCCATCTTCCGTTCATCACAGGTAAAACTACCTAGAGTTGGTGAAAATGGGGATGGGTGAGGTTGCCAAGTAAATGAATTGATGGAACTGGTTTAAATGGTGAAAGAGGAAGAGATTTATCTTGCTTTCCCTATTTTTTCATCCCATCTTCACCTCTTTGCTTCTTGCAATCTTTCCACCCAACACATTTTTGCCTCCTTTAATTCTAGCGAGGCTGTTGGGCTTTTGCTGCCAAGTTTAGCTTTTGTTCTTTATCCTCTCCTTCAGCTGCTGCCCGTGCCCATTTATGAATGTGGAGATGGTAATTTAGGGAGACGCAACCTTTTTGGTTCAGTAGGGAAGATGGGATGATCTTGGTGACAGGCAGTGGCTGTTATTTGGGACTGCCATCCCCTCCTACCACCTCAAGTAATTTTACAGGCATCTGTTTTTTCAGCATTTTCCTTAATGCCATTTATCCATAGCCACTGAGCTTTGATGTCAGAGGAAAGAGAATGGATGATGGCATCACGTTCATAGTTCAAATACTGTTGGATTATATTTTTATAAATATGAAAGACTGATTACCTTCTGTGCCCCATGACTGTCACTGCCACCTTATCAGTGATTCCGTGCCTCAAAAATGACTGCTTCTCTTAAACTCAGCCTTGGGCAGGAGATGGATTAAATTAACTCAAATTTCAGTGAATTTCTGTAGCTGCTGTAGCAAGTTTTTCATTTGAGTGATCTGTAGGTTGCAAGTGTAAAGGATCTTGAGAAAATAGAACACAGATTAAAGGCACAATGGGAGAGAAGTAATGCCTGTGTATCACCAGGCAGGATGGTCCTTGCTTTTGCCGTGTGTTTTATGTTGAGTATTTATCCAGCTAAGAAGATTTTGCTTTGCCAACAGTTTATGTAGGGCTTAAAAAAAATTTTAAAAAAAGGTAGGTTGATAATTTAGGGAGGTTAGTTGTGATTAATATTTTGCTTGGCTGATCAGGAAATCTGGGCTTAGTTCAGCTCCTTTATGCCACAGCAACCTTTGTAGCACTTTTGCCTGCATGATCTTAAAATGCAAATATATCAGCTATTCTGAGCAGCATACCAAAGTAGGTTAATGAATTCTGGGAAAAGTCATTGCGGTATCACACCGGCTTCGTTCTCTGCTCATAATGTCCCACCGTCATTCGTTCACCCTGCCCAGCAGCAGCCCCTTGAAACCTGCTTGGGCTGGAGGATCGTGGTGAGTAAAAGTGGATCCTTGATTCCAGACGGGTCTTACCTCTGGCAGAGCTGTGAAGCAGGTCTTCAGATTTGAGCAAAACCTGAAGCGTAGCAGCAGAATCCTTAAAAAAAAAGCATGTTCTTGGCTTTTCTGAACTGCTCTTACTGATGAGATTTGTCGGTGGGTGCTGCGCTATCGTGTTGGGCTCATGGCCCTCGTGGTCGGCTGGCAGGTGCCAACGTGAAGGCCATGAAATCATAGGTTGGTGCAGTTTGGTTTCATCTGGAGTTTTCTTGTCCACGTGAAAGCCAGAGGAGGTCCAGGTGTCCTTCCTGCTACACCTGTGTGTCAGAGAAGCGTCAGCATGATCCAGTTCCTGACGTGATAAGGTGTTGAATCTTTTTGCTCAGACTTTCTACCCTATCCTTTTTTCAGTAGGTCTGTGGCAATTAATTTTTAAGTCTGAAACATTTTTTTTTCACCCTTCACAAGGAAGATTCTCTCTTCAAGGTTCTTCTGTCATGAACTTAGATTTTTGCCATGGAAACTTTGGAAATAATAGAAGGTGGCTTATCCCAAGGCTATGTTAATGTATCCCAGATGGAAGAGTTGTGTAAAAATATGTTGGTGTGGAGTAGGGGAAGCACTTTTCAAGGCTTTCAGAAAGCAAGGCTTTCTTCTGCTAGTGTTTGCACTCAAAGGAAAACAAGAGCCTCTTTCTCCCATTGTTTCCTCCCTCTCTTTATTTTGACAATAACATTTTCAACACCACCTTATTCTGGCATTTGATAGAAGCTGAACAGCTGTAACAAATTGTGGGGAAAATGGTCTTCTGCAGTCATACTTTCCAGCAGCGAAAAAATTGGGAAGTTTTCTGCTAAGTTTGTTTTTCTGTACCTTCGCTGTCTTCAGCAAGCATAAGGTCAGTTTGAGCGAGGGGAGGCTGGTTCCCCGCGGGAGATGGATGTGTGGTTTGGTCATTACCCTCCCGTTGGGATGGGAATTGAGTGTGCAACAATTTTGAAAGGTGCTCTCTGCGTGACAGCAATTCCCTAAAATTATTTTCACTACAGAACAGAGCAGACAAATTGTCCACGTGTAGGAAGCAAAGCCCACCTCGAGCTTTGCTCTCTGCTTAGGAACACATCAGCTCCTTTGTTTCTGGAGGGTCAGGGATCAGGTTTCCCTTTCAGTTGAATTCCTCAATTATTGGATACAGATCTTCTTGTATGCGTATCCCTTGTTCGTGTCTGTTCTCTGCCAGGATGGTTGTGATGACGTGGCTTTCGGTCTGAGCAGCTTCACGTGGTACCTCAAAAGTGTAAATCTGTCAGAGATCTCCTTGTCAGAGCTCCTTAGTTTTTGTGCCGTTTTTATGTGTAGGAAGAGCAAACCTTTCCCTGGGTATTTTATGTTTCCTGAGTCATGGTCCCTCCTGCTCCTTCCAAAGAAGTGATTTATGCTATTAGCTCCAAGAAGAAGGTGTATTTTTATAATAGGCAGCTCAAATATATTTTTTAAATCTTCATTTTTTGCTATGGTTTTGATCTATGATCTGTTCGGATCTGTTATCTCTTGATCATTGACACCTATCAGTCCTGAGCTATAACAAGCATCGCCTCCAGATCTCACCACTGAATTCCATGTGTTAAGAACACAGAAGCTTTAACACGTGTCTCAGAATGTTAATGTGTTATTTGTAAAGTATTTGAGAATTAGCAACGGGCAGAAAGCAGTTAATCAAGGTGGGAAGTCAGTCTTTACACCGTTACGCATAATTGCTTCTCTCCATGTGATTTTGCTTAGCATAAAATGTTCTTGTACGTGTTAAGCTCATTTTACATATCTATTGCTAGGCATAGCATTAAATTGTCAAAGTTAAATCAGAATGTGGCTCTTTAGACCCTGAATTAACTACCTTAAGAGCATAACTATCCACTGAGGTGCGCAGAGTGGGCATTTAGGTGTTCTAATCCGGGTGTAAAGGCTAGATCTTAACCAGTCAGGATTTCTCTGATGACTTGTCCTCCTGGAGTTATTCCTGTCCATTTGTATGTCACCTCTTATATAATTTCAATTATTAGAGAATAAGCGTGTCGTATCTCTAATCTGTACAGCACAGGGACTATTTCACGCTTATTGATGACTTTAATAAATGCATCACATGGGTTAGAACAGACTTATTTTGAAAGTTTAGATTGTCTCCGGTAAAGGGAAGTTCAGTCTACGTATGTTGAAAAGGAAACAAAAGATGTTACAAGGTCCAGATCTTCAAATTAGGCACTTTTATTTGTAAAAGAAAAGCAAAGGGGGAAGGGGGGAGAAGGAAGAGAGGAGGTGAGCCAGGAGGAGAGATAGGAGCAAGTCAGCCCTTTCTCCTGGAAGCCACTAAATCCTTTTTGTGTAAAACAGAATGGCTGGTGAAAATGCTGACCCGACTCTAACCTCTGAACAGCTTCCAGGATTTTTTGGCTCTCACTATATAAAAGCAGCCAACTGTTAATGTTCAAAAATCTGCTACTGAAAAGAAAACTGGTCAAAGAATCACGTGCTGCTATGGGGGAACTTTGCACTTCAGATCCCCACAGAAGTGGACTGTCAAGTTTTGCTGCTTAAATGCAGCAGATACAAAAAAATCTCCAGCAATCTTAGCAAGCCTGAAAAATAAACGAGAAAACATTCCTTGCCAGTATGTAAAGCTTACCCAAGTGCTTGTGATGTTCAAGCAGCACTTTTGTCATTTAGCAGCAGTGTCCCAAGGGTATTAAAAGAATCCGTGCTGAATCTTCCAGTACAAGTGCTGTAATTTACTCTGATATGAAACGGGGCCGTGCTTTTTCTGAATGTAGAGTCCAGTGATGATCTCCACTGTGTTCGCTGCTCAACTGTTTGGGGGATCATCTTGAGCAGGGAAGGAGGTGTGATGTTAAGGCGGCTTAAAGGGGAACCAGTGAGCTGCATAAACCCTCCTCCACCACTGCCACAGTGGTGGGGATAGGTCTAGTACCACGTGGACCAGTTGCCTTCACCTCGATTTTGTGGATTTTTACAATGAAGAATGACATGTAAAGGACCCCTGTCCCCTCCTGGAGGTCCCTGACATGTAGCTTTTTTCACATTCTTTTTTTTTTTTTTTTTTTTTTTTTTTATTCTTTTTTTTTTTTTTTTTTTCCTTTTTTACTCCTGAGCTTTTATCAGATTGCTGCTTTCTACAGATTTATGTGTTTGTGTGTTAAAAATAGGTTTCTTAATAAATTCATCGAGACTGCGTGCTAAGCAGAATAGATGCTGCTGACAATAAAACAAGATAGATTTGTTTGCAAGTTTAACTGCTTTGAGAAGGGAACAAAGAGCAACTCAAAAGATACATCAAGATATATTTAACTCAGGTTAAATATTTTTGTGATCTTACAGCTAAAGCATTTGAATTCTGACATTCTCATCAGTATTATGAAATGCTGTGTTAATAATGAATAAGACCTCTAAGAATTACAGATCCTTTTTTTTTTTTTTTAAAATCTAGCCAGGTTCCATTTGGGCTCATTCCCCAAAGGAGGAACTCCCTGAAAAATGTCTAATATTGATGAATAATGAGCTTTTGTTCACTAATGCATCTGCATATTGCAGGTGACAGGG